ACACTTAATCATAAGTAACTTTACTCATATAACTAATTCATTTTTTTCAGCTGAGCAACTCATTTATGTGCTATGCTTAGTATTAATACCCATCGTTCAAGAAGGCACTGAAGCATATGCTTAATATCATTCTTATTTAGAAAAAGTACTGAAACCCACAATCTATGGATGTGATATTCAGTAAGGCACTTAAGTACTGTTACTGTTCTCAGTTGCATTACTCATGCCAAAAGTTCTGCAATTAATACAACTGACTTCAGTAGGACTGTTCATGTACTTAATGTCATGCTTTCACTTAAGTTCCTTGCTAAATCAGAGCCTATTTTACTAGGTAGTTAAGTTAAAAGCATCTAGAGTATTATAGAAATTGCACAAAGTAGCTTTGGAATCAATACATGCAACTTCAAACTAGACTTCACATCTGAAAAGACAGTTGGTTTTTCTCACATACACTTTGTTTTTTCATAATTTTAGCCAAAGAAACTTGGATTTTCACATTTTGGAAACCTAAGAAAAAAGAAATTTGATGAATCTACAGATTACATTTGTCCTATGGATACAAGTCCAGGTGCAGCTAATGGTACTCAGAAGAGCTATGGTGGATACAAAGGACTTAGTCCACTTTCCTCTGATAAGGAATTGGACAAACTGGATCAGGTGGGACAAACAGAGTGATGTCATACTCATCCCTCATTCTCCTCATGCATTCCAAAGCTTGCAAATAACATTGTTACCATATAACAAAATATGTGCTGCATCCGCATGAACTCATTGAGAACATATGGACATTTTGAAGAGTTTTATACTGAAAATGTCACATTATCTTTCTAAGTGTAAACCTACCCATCCATCTGTAAATCCTTTTTTCAGAAACATAAAACCTTTACACTTCGAAGATCAATGTATTTTGCCTGTACAGTTGAGGGTCATGGTAAAAACATTTGGTGTTTTTACTTTTAATTTTCATAATTCATAAAATACTGCACAGGTAACTCCTTTTTATCTTTGTAAGTGGCTTATGATGTAATAAATTTATTCAGACTACTTTGTACAGAGCTATCAGGAGACTTCAGTCTCAAAAACTGGACTGTATATTTTTAATAGACTTGTTAGTAGAAGAGAGCAACAGTTTCACTCTTCATGCATACATACATGTATGAATTAATTATGCTTAAGCAGTATATGTAAAAGATGCACCACTAATGAACACTATTATCATTGAAATAATAAAATAATACTTGAATAAGTCCATTTTGCTATGTATGTAGTGATCCCTTTCTTTTGGTAATAGAATTGAGTTTATATGCCATACCTCTAAGTAGTCAAAGGCTGAAACCATGACAACTTTTTGACATCTTCACTGTGAAAGTCTGTACAAAGTGATGAAAACCTTCAAAAAGGAGCTACTGGGTACTTGTATAGACTCTGCAGAGCACAAAAGCCAACCGAGGCAGACCTTTGCCTAGTATAAATTGTCATAACTCCATCTATTGTAGTGGATCAGTGACATTTTACACCAGCTGAAGATCTGACTTGGAAGCACTTTTCTCTCTGGAGCAGAAAGCAGTTAATGATCACAAAATTGAAAAGACTAACTGCAACCATTTTTCACCTGCATGATTTTACCACATCTAACATCTCATTTTTGCTCATCTGAAATGTAGTGTCTTACTTAATCTTTTTTTTTTATTTAATGGATGTTTTGCACTGCACTATTTAGAGGAGGCAGGTGAAATGAATGCTTTTTGTAAAGGCAATATGGTTCTTATTTGGGATCTCTTATGTTAGTGTTTTCAGAATAAAATATTAAGCATACAATGGAAATGAAAGCGGATCAAAACCTAATAGAGTTAAATGTCTAATATCACTAATCTAAATGTAGTTTGATCCTTTTTAGTGACTGAAGGGATAAGAAATGTCCAATTACCTAGAAAACAGTAGCAAGTGAGTGCATTTACCAATACTCATGACCCCCATTTCAGTTACTCAGTACAATTGTAGAAGTTGAACCAAATACATCTAACATTAAAGCCTGATGAAATTCCACCTTCAGTTAAACAAATGACATGGAGAGTACATAGGTAAGAGTGTACGTAGACATGCTTGTCTAGTGAAGAATTAGTGCTTTTAATGAATAACAAATGAACCCCTTGACATTGTAGGCCATCTGACATCATGAAGATTGATATCCTTTTATTAGAATCAGCAAGACAGCATGCTGGGTTTTTGTATTGCCTGTCTAGTAGGAATGCACCACACAAGTTATTAAATACATCTTGAAATGCTTCTGAATGTTGTGACTATGACTGTAACAAGTGCCTAATTTAGGAATATATCAATAGGTTCACATGAAATACAATGCTAACTCTGTGGAATATATTTACCAGCTGATCAAGAACACCGGTTCTCTTGATGAGAAATCTGTCTTCCTGTCATTACTGCATTTTTATAGTATTATAAGGCGTGTTGGCATGGTGATTTTTTCCCCCTTTTGATTTGTGAGTTTTTGTATATTTTTGTTACTTTTTATAATATTCAGAGTAGCAATTTATTATGCCAAGATTTTCTTTTTCTCAAGTCAGGGACACCTTCCAAAGATGCATATAGAGTCTAAATAAAATTGTAGCCATTGTCTTATTTGATCAAGTTGCTGAATGCTTTTACAGATGGAACATTCAGAAGGAACGGTAATGCAAATAGGGGCTCTTTCTCAAGGCATAAACAATCTCACGGTACGTATCAACTTGCACTTGCTTTAAAAGACACAAATATATCTTGCCAAAATTTGGGAAAATGTAGTCATTCCAGGTAGAGGTAACCCAATGTATCAGTCCATATTGTATCGGCATTGATAAAAGGAAAATTGACATTATTGGTAATCAGCTTTTTTTGGCTGATGTGGTTGACAGTGTCACCAATAATGTCACAGAATGCATGCAGACAGCCCAGCAGCTTGGAGAGCAGCATCCATCTGGTAAGAGTGTTGGACAGGAAGGAGCGGAAGGGAGGGAAGGGGGTGAGGGGACAGATTGAGGCCCCTGTGATGAGGGAGGGAGTGGGGCTGGGGTTGGGGCTGGGCATG